CTCCTTCTGCCTCATCCTTTGGTCATTCAGCAAACAAGGCCTACTTCTTCCACCATGGAAATATTTTCTCTCAAATGACTCACAGTCTAGCAATAAAACCTTCATGAACAAATGTAGAAATTATATAAGAAGTAGAAGGATGGTTCGCTGAATGTTAGATGAGGGTGCTTATACTTTTGAGGAAGTTCACTAAATATCAAGTAAGTCATTGTAACCTATGGCTGGAAAAAGTGTGGGAGTCTAGAGGGAGAGGGCAGTGAGGACGCTTTAATACAGACATGTTGTTCTTTTATTCCATGATAACCATCATCTGCTTCCCCCCAACAGAAACACAGCCTCCAAGAGCAGCCGTTCCCACCTTGCCAAAGCCTGCTGTGGACATTGAGGGAGGCCTGTTCAGGTAGGAAGAACATAGCAAGGAGAGAATCTTCAAAGGCAGGAAATTCCAGGGCCTAGAAGATGAATAAAGTTCTCCTATCCTGTGGAGCACTCTCAGGATCGTGGTACCCAGGGAAGGCAGGGAGAGGATGTGACGGCCCAGTGAGGCAGAGGCGTCTGGATGAGTGGAGAACCTAGTGACCAAGAAAATTCTCTGTTTTCGTGAAAAGACAAATTTGGGAAGATTTTTTTTTTTAAGAGTTTCAGAATGGAGGCAAGCTGCTTCCTATCTTGTATAATTTTACTTAGAAAATGTATAATAATTATTTGACATTTATATAGCATTATACAATTTTTAATTATGTCTGTAGATATTATCTTCTTAGAAACTAATAATAAGCCTTGAAGGTAGAGATTCTCCAGTTCAACAGATAAGGAAACAGAGGCCCATAAATGATTAAGCTATTTACTTTGGGGCATGTGGTTAGTGGAAGACTTGGGACCAGAACGCATGGCCTCTGACTTCTAGCTTAGGGTCCTTCTACTCTACACTCCTTTCTGTAAAGGAGTTATTCAGTTTCTGGTATTCTTTATTGGTTGGGAAAATATACCTACAACCCCTTTAAAAAGACCATACAAACACTAATCAAAAGATGAAAGCTATAGCTATGGTAATATCAGATAAACACTTTAAAAGAAAGAAGCATTGCTAGAGAAAGAAAAGGAAAGATAATAGCAATTCTAAATATGTATGCACCTAAAAATGTAATCTCAAAAACAAACTGTCACATACTGCATTATCAGACCTAACCCACAATTGCAGTGAGAGATTTGAACCTATTACTCTTAGAAACTAAGAGAACATGCAGATAAAATGTAAATAGAAAAATAGATTTGTACAATACAATTAACAAACTTGACCTGATTGAAGTATAAAACACTGAATTCAATAGCTGAAGAACACACATTCTTTCCTGAAGGCATATAGAACGTATCGGCATATGCTGGGCTATACGGCAAGTTTCAATACACTTGAAAGACTTAAGTCATCCAGAGAATGTTTTCTCAGCACAGTGGAATTTAGGTACCAAAGCCAAAAAGATAAAAATCTCCAAATATTAAAAACTTGGAAGTATACTCCCCAGTAACCTATGGGTTAAAGGAAAAACAATCAGTAGAAGTTATAAAATGTTTTTAACTGAATGGTAAATAAAATTACAAGCTATAGAATGTTATGAAATAACACTTCATAAGTACAGCTAAAACTGCTTAGGGTGAAATTTAAAGATCTATATGCATGGATTTAAGAAGGAGAGAGATTGGAAATCAGTGGTAAAATATCTATCTCAAGAAATAAGGGAAAGAAAAGCAAATCAAACCAAGGAAAGAAGTAATGACAAATTATAGAGGTAATAATAACAAAAATTAATTTAAAAAATGATAATCATACATTAGACAAAGTCCACAGAGCTAAAGTTGTTCCTCTGAAATATCTTGAAAAGACAAAATTATAAAGCCTGGCAAAACTATTCAAGGAAAGAAATAGGAAGTGGCATAAATTATCAAATCAAAATTTAAATAAAGAAAAATTAAAAAATGCAGATCCTTACAGACAATAAAACAATTTTAAAGAGCATATTATGAGCAACCTTATGCCAACAAACTTCATAATGTATATGAAATGAACAAATACCTTGAAAAACTCCAACTGAAACAAGAAATAGAAAATGTGAATATGTGTTATATTTAATTTAAGTATCTGTGGTAGACAGAATAATCATCCCCCAAGGAGTTCCATATCCTAATCCCTGAAACCTGCTATATATATACCAGGTTAAATATAATGTTGCCTTATATGGCAAACGGAACTTTGCAGATGTAGTTAAATTAAGGACCCTGATAGAGATTATTTTGGATTTTCCAGGTAGGCCCTTTCTAATCATATGGATCCTTAAAAGCAGAGAATCTTTCCTACTTGTAGTCAGAGGAAGATGTGACTAAAAAAGAATGGTCAGAAATATGCAATGCTGCTGGCTTTGAAGATGGATGAAGGGGGCCATGAGCCATGTGGGTGGCCTCAGCTGCAAAAGGCAAAGAGCAAGATTCTTCCCTAGAGCCTCCAAAAAGGACCATAGCCCTGCTAATACCACTGAGATTCATGTTGGACATCTATCCTACTGAACCTTAAGGTAATAAAATTTGCAATGTTTTAAGCCACTAAGTTTGTTGTGATTTGTTACAACAATCATAGAAAACTCATTCAATTTATTAAAGAATTTGAATTCCTAATTTAAAAATCTTCCCTCATGAAAAAACTCCAGTCTCAGATTGGCTTCACCAATGTTACACATACTTTTCCAGAAAATAGAGAAGGAACACTTCCCAACTCATTTGACAATGCCAGAGAACCTTGATAACCAAATATAACAAGGACAGTACAAGAACAGAAAATTACAGACCAATCTCCACCATGAATACAGATACAGAAGTCCTTAACAAATTATAAGCAAACCAAATCCAGTAGTATACATAAAAGGAGAGAACATCACAACCAATATAGTTTTTATATAAAGTTGGTTTAATTTTAGAAAATGAGTCCATGTAATTTACCATTTTGATTAAGGAAAAATTTCATGTAATTGTCTCAGTAGATATAAAAAAAGCATTTGGTGCATTCAAAACAAGTTTCATGATTTTTTTTTAAAAGCAATAGGAAACTAGGAGTTGAAAGGAATTTTCCTTAATATATTTTCTACAAAGAACATAGAGCAAATGTCATATTTAGTGGGAAAATAAAGTATTTCCATTAAGATCAAGAAAAAAAACAGATCACATTATGTCTACTTCTATTTATCATTGTACTTGAGGTCCTAGCCAATGCAAAAATTAAAGATTTGAAAGGAAGAAAGTTATAAACATGGCTATGTAAGAGGAAAACGAATGAACAAACAAAATCAACAAATAAACTGTTAGAATTAAAAATAAATTTAGCAATGTCATCGTATGTAAAGTCAATACAAATATCAGCTGTAAATAAAAAATAACATAAAATTTTGTTTAACAACTAAAAGAAAACAATATCATTTACTTGGTATCACAAAACCTAAATACTGAGGAATAAAGCTAAAGAAATATGTGCAAGACATGCATATTTAAAAATTTTTTAAACATTACTGGAAGAAATTAAAGACAACCTAACTAAATAGATAATCCATGTTCATGGGTCAAAAGACTCACTGTTGTAAAGATGTCAGTTCTCTTCAAATTGATCTATAGATTCAGTGCAACCTTAATTTAAATCCCAGCAGGCATTTTTATGAAAACTGGCAAGCTGATTGTAAATCGTATGTATAATTGTAAAAGGTCAAGAATAACTAAAGTACTCATGAAGAACAAAGCAAAAACAGTCACTCTACTAGATATCAATATTTCTTATAAACTACTGTAATTAAGACAGTGTGATGTGAATAACAGAAATAGAAAAATAAACCAATAAAACAGTGGAGAGTCCATAAACAGACCCAAGCATACACACTTCGTTTATATCAAAGGTGACATTGTAGGTGAAATTCTCTTTTCTACAAATTATAGTGGGTCATTTGTATATCCATATGGAAAAAAATAAAATTCCACTGTATTTCATATTAAATACAAAAATGCAAGTCCAGGAAAATTATAGATCTAAATTTGAAAGATTAAAAAAAAAAGAATTCTAGAAGGTAACAAAAATATCCTGATGACCTTGGATAGACAAAGGAACAGGAATCGCAGCATGCTTAGGATAAAGAAAAAGTTATAAATGCACATTAAACTTAAGAACTTTTGTTCATCAAAAAACACAAGAGAATGAACAGGCAAGCCACAGACCAGGAGAAGGTATTTGCAATGCCTATAACAACAGATGATTCACATCCAGCATACGTAAAGAATAGGTCAATAGGAAAAAGACAGACAACCCCATAAAAAAATAAGCAACAGACTTGAACAAACTCTTAACAAAAGAAGATATCCAAAAGCCAATATATGTATGTAAAAGTTCCTATTTCAATAGTCACTAGGAAAATGTAAATGAAAACCATCAATTACAATTAAATACACTCCTACCAGAATGGATAGATTGACAACACTCAGTGGGACAAGAATGTGATGCAACAGTGCTGGGGAGGCAGAGATGTAAATTGGTACAAACAACTATTATTATTAAAGCTTCAAGTTCCATACTTTATGAGCCAGCAAGTTCATACCTATGTATATACTGACCGAGAAGTATGTACATATATATGTGTATATA